TAATTCTGGGAAGGACTGGGGGCAGGAAGAGAAGGGGATGACAGAGGATGAGATGGTTGGCTGGCATCACCGACTCGATGGACATGAGTCTGAGTAAACTCCGGGAGTTGGTGTTGGACAGGAAGACCTGGTGTGCTGCAATTCATGGGGTCGCAAAGAGTCGGACACGACTGAGTGGTGCTGGAGAAGACTCTTGAGAGTCCTTTAGACTGCAAGGAGATCAAACTAGGCGATTCTAAGGAGACCAAACCAGACAATCCCAAAGGAAATCAACCCTGAATATTCACTAGGCGGATTGATGCTGAAGCTGCAATACTTTGGCCACCTGATGCAAAAAGTCAAGTCACTGGGAAAAGAAAAAAAACAACAACAACCACCTGATGCTGGGAAAGATTAAAGGCAAAAGGCAGAGGGTGGTGGAGGATGAGATGGTTAGATAGTATCACTGACTCAACAGACATGAATTTAAGCAAACTCCTGGAGATTGTGAAGGACAGGGAAGCCTGGAGTGCTACAGTACAGATGGGAATCACAAAGAGTCAGACACAATTTAGTGACTGAAGGCACACACACTAAATGGCCAGAAAAAAATTATATTTCACTGACTGATTTCATCTTTTCAGGATTGGCAGACACACTGGAGCAGCAGGTTATCCGCTTTTTCTCTTTTCTGTGATTTATGCACTTACAGTTGGGAATGTTAGGATGATCCTCTTAATCAGGACTGATTACTGACTTCACACACCCATGTACTTTTTCCTGGCTAACCTGTCCCTTTGTGGGTGTTTGCTATTCATCCATCGTGACTACAAAGATGCTGGTAGATTTATGACCAGAGAAGAAGACCATCTCCTTTGCTGGCTGCTTTCTGCAGATGTACTTCTTTTTAGCATTGGCCACAAGTGAATGCATCCTTTTTGGGTTAATGGCCTATGACCACTGTGTGGCCACATGCAACCCTCTCCTTTACGCCTTGATCATGTCCAGGACAGTCTCCCTGAAGATGGCCACAGGGGCTTTCACTGTAGGACTGCTGACCTCCATGTTTCAAATTAGTTGAAGAAGCAGCTTCGCATTCTGCAGTTATAATGTTATCCATCACTCTGTGACTTCCCTTCCATTATTAAGCTCTCATGTTCAGACGCATATCTGTATGAAATCACCTCGTGTATAGGAGCTGTTGTGAGTGCAGTCAGAAGTCCACTGGCGATCCTCACTTCCTACTCCTACATTCTCTTCTCCACCTTTTGTACGCATTCAGGGGAGGAAAAGTGCAAAGAATTCTTCACATGTGCCCCTCACCTGCCTGATATCATTCTGATTTATCCACCTCCATCTACATTTATCTGAGACCTACTTCCAGCTACTCCCTGACTCAGGATTAATTGGCTTCTGTCTTTTACACGGTGGTGATTCCCATGTTGAATCCTCTGATCTACAGCCTCAGAAATAAGGATGAAAAAAAGGGTTTGTGAAATGTAATTACTAGGAAAAGGGTTCCTTTATTTGTGAGTGGTTCATTTTCAGGACTAAATAGACTATGTCTTGAAATCTGAAATACTGGTCAAACTTATTTTCATTAGAGCATTGTCTATGTAATCATCTTCTGTTAATGCTCAGTTCAGTTCAGTTCAGTTGCTCAGTCATGTCCGACTCTTTGCAACCCTATGGACTGCAGCATGCCAAGCTTCCCTGTTCATCACCAACTCCCAGAGTAAACTCAAACTCATGTCCATTAAGTCGGTGGTGCCATCCAACCAGCTCATCCTCTGTCATCACCTTCTCCTCCCACCTTCAATCTTTCCCAACATCAGGGTCTTTTCAAATGAGTCAGTTCTTCACATCAGGAGGCCAAAGGATTGGAGTTTCAGCTTCAGCATCATTCCTTCCAGTTGATATTCAGGACTGATTTCCTTTAGGATGGACTGGTTGGATCTTCTTGCAGTCCAAGAGACTTTCAAAACTTTTCTCCAACACCACAGTTCAAAAACATCAATTCTTTGACATTCAGCTTTCTTTATAATTCAACTCTCACATCCACATATGACTACTGGAAAAGCCATAGCTTTGACTAGACAGTCCTTTGTTGGAAAAGTAATGTCTCTGCTTTTTAATAGGCTGTCTAGGTTGCTCATAACTTTTCTTCCAAGGAGTAAGCGCCTTTTAATTTTGTGGCTGCAGTTAGCATCTGCAGTGATTTTGGAGCCCCCCAAAATAGTTTGTTATGTTTCCTCATCTATTTGCCATGAAGTGATGGGACCAGATACCATGATCTTAGTTTTGTGAATGTTGAGTTTTAAGCCAACTTTGTACTCTCCTCTTTCACTTTCATCAAGAGGCTCTTTAATTCTTCACCTTCTACCATAAGGGTGGTGTCATCTGCATATCTGAGATTATTGATATTTCTCCCTGCAATCTTGATTCTAGCTTGTGCTTCATCCAGCCCAGCATTTCTCATTATATACTCTGCATATAAGTTAATATTATACAGCATTTATTTGATAAATATAATTTATCCCCATTAGGTAAGAGCATAGAACTTTCTTCTAATCATTGTATATTTCACTAGATCCCTAAAATAGAGATTATAAAGAAATTTAGATTAGGGAAATAAAGGACTGAGTATATAGAGACAAAAGTAACAGTCATATGAAACGAACCATTTAATGAATTTTCCTTTTTTGATGTGCTTGTTCTCACCATTTATGATTTGTAAGTGATATATATTCTTGGTGGCAAAATATTTTAAATTCATAATATATTTCCACTTTATTTTGCTGAATCATTTCCTGGGGATATGCTTAAATAAAATTCAAGAATGTTATTTTAAATGTAATAGTAAACTCTTCAGCTTTTATTTCCTTTATTTCCACAAATGCATACATATTCACTAATATATAAATATGAATTGTGTGGCAGTGTTCTATACCGAAACCAGCTGTTTGGTTAAAAAAGCACAATTAGACCAGTTTTTTTCTATTCCTTTCTTTCTTCTCCAACATTTCCTATTTTTCTATGAGTCTCTCCTCCAGAGTGAGACATATACACAAAGCCACGTGAACACACAATAAGTTATATTTAATCAGGGCATAGTTCCAAAACAGGTATATCAGTGTTTAACGGGTGAAACTGACATATTCTCTATAATAGACCCATGGATTTCCTACTTATGGTAATCTGTCAACTACCAACAAAATCCTTTAAAGTTAATCTGAATGTTAAAAGCAAGCCTTAATATGAAAGTGGAATGGGAGTGACTTAATAGAACTCAGGAGGAAATTGAGGGCGGGTCAGCTCTTGTTAAGATGGTAACTTTATTATCTAGTTTCGGAGAGAAATTCCCCCTGGCCCTTGCCTTGAGCTTGCTGCTGAAGCGGTACCTGATAGAAGCTGCGATCTTCAGGTCAGCTGGAACGCGGTGAAGCTGACCTCATGACCTGTCATAAAGCTGTCATCCAGCTCAGACATCTAGGTCCCTTTGCGGCCCACATAATTCACATTGGTCGGAAGAATACTCATGAGCTTAGTAGTCAGCATCTTCTCCAATTTATTTCACTCAAACAGTGGTGGATTTCAGGTTAAACTTACCCAGAAATGTGGTGAGTTACATACACACACATTTACACACAGAGACACACTCACACATATGCATACATGGGGGGAATTATAATTTTGTAGTGGGTTATGTACCCTTTTGGAATAAGCTAAAATTATAAAAAAAAATAGGCAACTAAATAGCCAATTAATTTTTTTTAATCTTTGGAAAGCAACTTTAAAGTAACAGAGAGATATATAATCAAGTTATGATGAAAATCTGCACAGTGTGTGATTCCATCTACCTGTATGTGATCATATTTTAATTACTTTTGAGAGTGAAGTTTCTGCCATTAGGGTATTGACTCATAATTAAAAGCTATAGTTCAGTCCCCATTGTTACCCAACCCTCTTTCAGGAAAAAGAAAAAAAATCCAGCTTGTGTATATATTCAAGATGTGTCTCAAATTTTTACACAGAAAGAATCCATACTGTCTGTGATTTCATTTCACTTCAAACATGAAAATTGTCTCTTTATAATTTTTATGCCTCAACTGAGTTACCAGAGAAGATTCTGATGAGAAAGAAAAGAACAGACCAGGTGAATTAGTACTGGGAAGGATGTTACTGGGTACACGCGGCTGTCCCTATTGTTCCCCGCTGGGGACAGGTATAGTGACTGCTACTATAGGGCACTGATTTGATAACGTGTTTTGTAAATGAGAGCAGTTGTGTGGTTAACTTTTAAAATGCTACATAATCATTCTCAAGAATATAATAGGTGTCAAAATACTGGTTATTTGAAACAGGCTATGTTTGCTGCTTGGAGAACATAAAAGTGATGTCCAGATGGCAAGTCATAAATTTTGAAGATGTGGGAATATAGGGTCGTCTTTGTGAGAAAAAAATGCATTTGAGTTAAACAAACACCTCCTCAGAAAACGGGAAAGACTTCAGCAAGGTTAGTTCTGAAACTTACATTTTGGATATGGGCAATAGGAGAAATAATGGAACATGAATGTTGCACTTGCCCAAAACTGAAGAGAAACATATGGACTTAGACCAAGGATTTGTGGATGCCTCAACCTACATTTAATACAGAGAACTGCTTAATAAACTTCAACATTTATTCATTTTTTCATGAATTTCTACATTATTTCAATTGCTCTATTTACTATACTCTTTTATCCAAAGCCTTCCCCCGCAACCCCCCGCATATGCCACTAACCTCATTAACATTCCTATTACTTCATGTAAACATTGAACAGTGAAATGTTTCCATCTAATGCAAGTTGAAGCATGATATATCTGTAATAAATGGCCAGAAAAAATTATACTTCACAGACAGAGTTCATTCTGTTGGGATTAACAGACACATTGGAGCTACAGGTTATCCTCTTTTGCCTGTTTTCTGTGATTTATATGCTTACATTTGTGGGGAATGTTGGGATGATCTTCTTAATCAGAATGGATTTCCAACTTCACACACCCATGTATTTCTTCCTGGCTAACCTGTCCTTTGTGGATATTTGTTATTCATCCACCATCACTCCAAAGATGCTGGTAGATCTATTATCAGAGAATAAGTCCATCTCCTTTGCGGGCTGCTTTCTGCAGATGTATTTCTTTATAGCCTTGGCCACAACTGAATGCATCCTTTTTGGGTTAATGGCCTATGACCGCTATGTGGCCATAAGCAACCCTCTCCTCTACTCCTTGATCATGTCCAGGAGGGTCTGCCTGAAAATGGCCGCAGGGGCTTTTACAGCCGGTCTGTTGAACTCCATGGTAAACACCAGTTATGTGAGCAGCTTGCCATTCTGCAGTTCCAATGTCATCCATCACTTCTTCTGTGACAGCCCCCCACTTTTTAAGCTCTCCTGTTCTGACACACGCCTGCATGAAAGCATCTTTTCCACATTCGCTGGTGTGAATATGGTTGGGGCTCTGCTGGTGATTCTCACCTCCTACTGCTACATTCTCTTCTCCATCTTCCACGTGCACGCGGGGGCGGGGAGGCGCAAAGCGTTCTCCACGTGTGCGTCTCACCTGACAGCCGTCATCCTCTTCTATTCCACCTCCATCTACACTTATCTCAGACCTACTTCCAGCTACTCCCTGACTCAGGACAAAGTGGCTTCCGTGTTCTACACTGTGGTGATCCCCATGTTGAATCCTCTGATCTACAGCCTCCGGAATAAGGAAGTAAAGAAGGCTTTATGGAATGTGATTACTAGGAAAAGGGTCCCTCTATTTCTAGGATTGTTGCCTTAATTTTCTTGACTAAACAGAGCATGTTTTGATCTTTTAAAGGGTGGATCAAGTTTACTGTTTTTCATTAGAATATTTTCTAATTAATAGTGTTTTATTATTACTCACGTACTTGTATCCAATTGGGTATAAACTAACTGATATAAAATGTGTATCAGACTGTTACAAAATTAAAAACTTTCACCTGATTATTTTATATTTCCATTGTGTTATCAAAATCTGTGCTTATTCATAAAGTAATCTTGGTTAGAGAAGTGAAGTTATTAAGTATTTAAAGACAAAAATGACAGTATCACATGAAACTAGCCAAGTAAAGAACTTAGAATTTTCAGTTTATTTTTTCCAATGCATACGTTTTCACCATTTATGTTTTGTGATAGATTCTTATATAGCACATATGACATATTTTTAGTTTTGAACAGATTCCCATTTTATTTCATGGAATAATTTCCTGGGGATATGCTTAAATCAAAATTCAGGTATATCATTTTAATAGTAAACACATCAACTTTTATTTCTGTTATTTCTACAAACATATTCATTGTAAAGAAGTTATGAATTTGTATAAAAGAATGCAATTTAGAAAACTGTTCTCTGATTAGAGTGCACCACTTATAATAATTTTTCTTCTATTGCCTTCTTTCCTTCTCAAAAATGTCCTATTCTTTTCTCACTTTCTTTCTCCACGTGATTTATACACTCAAAGCTACCTCACACACATTTAGCTACTCCAGAATTTAGTTAGCTCTACCTGATAGATGTTGACATTGAATGGATGTAACATACATATTATGGAAATCTATCAATTAACAATAAGTAATCAAAATTAATCATAATACTAAAGCTAAGCAATAATGTGAAGGTGGAATGGGAATTGGCTTATTAGAACTCTAGAGTAAAGTTAGTGGGGTTCAGGGTTTGCTAAAAAGATCAACTCACATATAATTTTTGAAGGAAAATTCTCCATGGCCTTCCTTTGCTCTTTCTGCCAGAGTTGTGTCTGATAGAGGCTGTGATGCTCAATTCATCTGGGATGTGGCAGAACAGATCATGATCTGTCACAAAAGGTCGTTCAGGTCAAGTGTCCGTGGCCCTCTGTGGTCTGAAGAACATTCAGGTAGTAATTCGTCTTGTCTTGGCACCCCTGGGCTGTGCTCTTGGTCCATATTTTTTCTTTGTTCCTGGAAGCCCTGCAACAAGCTCATCAGGCTGATCTCAGCAAAGATTCACTCCTTCACTAAGTGACTCACCTGCATTCCGCTGCACCAGCCAGCTGCTCTTTGGTTGGTCTCTTTCTACTTTCTCTGTCGTAGGTATTTCTGGGATCAAGATAGTTCACTGATAAATACTAATATTCTTCTCCTTCCACTAAATGTTTTACTTTCTAGTAAAATGCTTTACTTTCCTAAGTAAAACTTAGGAATAGAAACATTGTGTTGAGGATGAAATATAGCTATTCTGAGATTTGGGTGTTTTGACATATTGCATTTAGACCATGTCACTGTTCTCTAACTCAGCCTTCTACATTTAATTAATCTCGTTTAATTAAGCTTGCAAATATTTAAAACTTTGGGAGGTTTTTCTTTTTTTTTTTAATTAATGAATGTGCTCATTATATCTGGAGAAGGAAATGGCAACCCACTCCAGTGTTCTTGCCTGGAGAATCCCAGGGATGGAGGAGTCTGGTGGGCTGCTGTCTATGGGGTTGCACAGAGTCAGACATGACTGAAGTGACTTAGCAGCAGCAGCAGCTCCTTATATACATTTAGACTAATTTTTAACCTGCAATTTTTGTAAAATGTGTTTTTAAAATTATTGTATGTTCTTTCTTATTGGGGCTTCCTCATAGCTCAGTTGGTAAAGAATCTGCCTGCAATGCAGGAGACCTGGGTTCAGTCCCTGGGTCTGGCAGATCCCCTGGAGAAGGGAAAGGCAACCCACTCAGTGTTCTTGCCTGGAGAACCCCATGGACAGAGGAGCCTGGGGGGCTCAGTCCACGGGCTCACAAGAGTCGGACACGACTGAGTGACTAAACCGCCACCACTGCCTTCATGCCTGTTAGAGCCTGTTTGCTATACTCTACACTACTTCCTGTTTGTCTAATTTTCCAAGTCCTTTATCTCATTTGAATGTTTAATGTTACCACCTTTTCCAAACATACAGTTATCAATACATCTTTTGCCTTATTCAACTGTTTATGAATAATTTATTCACTGAAAGTAGTGAAGTTTGAAACCTACACCTTTGGCTTTGTTTTGCTCTATATTAATTAGCATTTAGGTCAGATAAATCACATTTATAATACCTGCGAATGTCACAGTTTGGAAAAGTTGGAAAAAAGTAAGTAAACAAATTGGGAGGAATGACATAATCCATATTCAATAACCACATGGATCCAAAGAAATAACTAAAAAGGGGGCTATTACTAAGAAACATAGCCCTGAATTTAGGCAAAAAAAAATGTGCAGAAAGTGTTTGATATTAATATATAATGATGATTTTTTAAATTTAGTTTGTTAAACAGAAATTTCACAACAGAATTTTCATGGGTCTACTGAAAGCTGAAAATTATACATTTCATGAGCAATAATTAGGTAAAGGTTACTACTGAGATTAAGTGAATAAATCTTATTTCACTTCATACTGCTCAAGTTAAATTAAACACAGTGTATTAATTCATAATCACATTTCAATGGACACAGATGAAAACATATGATGTCAAAAAGGTAAAATGTAAATAGGGGTACAGAAAATATTCTAATATGAATTAATTGAATTGATGTGAGAATATTCAATCTGTAGAGATTAATGTACACATAATATTAATGAAAATATGTAGTTTTATTGCAAAGATATTGGACATATATATAACTTTATAGGAACAATCTTAAGGCAAATAATTTTATTAAAACTATATGGAATATATGATAAATAGAACTGTGGCACCAGAAAACAGAAATTTGGTCATTTTTTGCTAATGTGGGATACAATTTATAGCTTTGACGGAAAAATGCTCAAATTCTCTTTAAATGTTGTAATGTTAGTCCTAAAATGGAAACATTGCATGTACCCAGCCACCACCCTTAAGTCTCAAAATAGTCCCTGGGATATTTTAGTTATAGAATAAATATTATTCTCCTTAGATTTGTTACTAAAAAAAAAAGGTAGTAATTATTGGCCATGGGATTTCAAAGTTTTGCAAACAAGAGATCAATCTGATGATGAGCATAGCAAAAATTCTGAGCTAATTAATTGGGTTCAAAACATTCAATCTCCTGAATCTGTCTCATCATTTAAACTTTGCATTGTAAAAAATAAAATTTTTAAGTATTTATTAACTATGGTTGTGTTGTGTGTGTCAATCATTAACTCACTGGTAAAGGAAAACAAGAGAGATTAAAATACATAGATCTGTTACACATAAGCATGATTCTACTTTATGTCCCTGATATCAGAGCTCAAGTCTTGGATAACTTATGCAGGGGGAGAGGAGAACAAAAGCAATGCCTCTACACTAATTGGTTGAACTATGACAAAGATAGGCAACTCCTACAATTCTAAGACCTGAGCGCTCTAAAGAAGGGATTCCAAGACAACATCCCAGGTTTCGGGTGAAGCTCACTGTGTTGCTGTTGTTCAGTCGCTCCCTCGTGTCCAAGTCTTTGTGAGCCCACGGCCTGCAGCACAGCACACTTCCCTGCCCTTCACCGCCTCCCGGGGACCCCTCAGACTCGTGCCTCCGCAGTGCACGCCTCCACTGGGAACTGCCATGCAGGGTCGGGTGGCGCCGACACCGCTCAGTTCAGGTGGCGCCGACACCGCTCAGTTCCGCAGTGTCTGGGCTCCCTCTGAGCGTGTTCTTTCCTATTTCAGTGCCAAGAACTGACTCAAGCAAGTGCAACGAGACACTGGAAAAACACTTGGGCTTCTATGGAAAAAGATAGATGAAGGAGAACTGCAACTGTTAGTGGTGTTTCCGTCTCTCTCATGGTGTATGATACAATCATGAGAACCAAGAAGAGATACTGAAGGGAATCAAGGAGAAAATGACATGATTTTATCCACCTCATAGAAAAAATACTCTCTTTGAAAAAAAGAGATTGATGAAAGTGAAGAAGTATCAAAAATAAAGTTGCATAAAGCATATTTCAATATAAAAAGTATACAAATATATACTTTTTTAAAATTCTCATAAAAATAGAAGGAAATGAGTGAAATTAACTAATCTTTAGAAGAGACAGTAAGCATAATTTGATGACTGACTAATGTAGGTTAAATAGATGAAGAAATATAAATACATCATATTTTCTCTTGTGGTTGATTTTATATATGATAAAATTGAGAATGGAAACAGAGGAACAAGTTTGGAAAGAAACTGTACATAGATATTGTGACCATTTCTCACAGTATAAGTACAATATCAACCCTAGTTTCCCACATGGGTTATTGCAAGCACATCTTAAGTGGTCTGTCTGCTTCCACTCTTTTGTGCATTAAAGTGTATTGTGTTTTACATTTAGATCTTTAATCCATCTTGAGTTTATTTTTGTGTATGGTGTTAGAAAGTGTTCTAGTTTCATTCTTTTACAGGTGGTTGACCAGTTTTCCCAGCACCACTTGTTAAAGAGGTTGTCTTTTTTCCATTGTATATCCTTGCCTCCTTTGTCAAAGATAAGGTGACCGTAGGTTCGTGGATTTATCTCTGGGCTTTCTATTCTGTTCCATTGATCTATATTTCTGTCTTTGTGCCAGTACCATACTGTCTTGATGACTGTGGCTTTGTAGTATAGTCTGAAGTCACGCAGATTGATTCCTCCAGTTCCATTCTTCTTTCTCAGGATTACTTTGGCTATTCGAGGTTTTTTGTATTTCACCAGCCCAGATTGGGTG